AGGTCAGAAGAGCTTTATTTAACAGCTGGTCTTATGTCTGTGACCCCTCCTGTTGTTAATTGATAAGCCTGAAACATGCACTTGTCAAGGTCAGAGGCAAATTTTGCAAATATGGCAGTAGCCATCGATCATCTTAAGATAAGATATACTTTATTGATCCCAAGTTGGAAACATTTGCGTTACATCAGCATGTGTTCATCGTCCATAACATACGCCTGCCCATACCATAACCCCACCACCACCATGGGCCACTCGATTCACAACATTACCCTAACCCTAACCCTAAACCTAACCCTCACACCAGATACTGACTGGTTTTCGGACCCCCCCAGACCCCCCCAATAAAGAAAAAATGCACGTTTCAGAGTGGCCTTTTATTGTGGCCAGCCTAAGGCACACCTGTGCAATAATCATGCTGTCTAATCAGCATCTTGATATGCCACACCTGTGAGGCGGGATGGATTATCTCGGCAAAGGAGAAGTGCTCACTATCACAGATTTTTTCAGATTTGTGAACAATATTTGAGAGAAATGGTTATTTTGTGTATGTAGAAAATGTTTTAGATCTTTGAGTTCATCTCATGAAAAATGGGAGCAAAAACAAAAGTGTTGCGTTTATATTTTTGTTCAGTGTAGATTAAAAAATTCCATCCCTTACTCAATGAACTTGAAAATGAATCAGCCGTATTTAAATATTCTTTCCTGTTGTAGCCTGTTCAAGAAGGAGTGTTTCTTCTGGAGGACCTCGGGCTGCACGAGGCAGGACTGCACCTTCAAACATCTCCCCGAGAACAAGAACGTCGACAAGGACAAGTTCACCAGCAGACTGGGGAACTTTAACATGTAGGAAATCAAACATGACAAGCATGCATTGATTCCTTTGACTTTGGACACAATGGTGGTGCCAAATCTGGGCTGACTTTAGCCCTCTGGTTCCTCTTGGTTTTGGTTGTAAAAGAAAAAAGACTAAGAGAATGCACCATGAAGGCCCACCATTGTTGTACAAATGCAAAGGACATCAAGCTAAATATACTACTGCTTCATAGTAATAATTAATGTACATCAAGCTTTGAGCATTACTTTTGCAGTAGGACTTTTTCAGGGATTATTAGAGATTAATCTGTTTAAAGATTGTGTTAAAAGACTTGATTTTTAAGTTGCTGCTTTGCTTTGTTTTAAAATGAGCAGATGTTCCTGTTGTTCTTCAGTGACCACTAGATGGCACTGTTACCTTTTAGCCCTCAGCTACTAACACTTTAAAGGCTGTGATAGAAGTAGTTAAGCTGTCAGCACATTTAATGCGCCATGTTTGATTTTGAAGCTACTCTGTCATTTTGATTGCTGTGTTTGTTTTATGTGTTTGCTGATTATTTTGTCATTATTGTTTATGTTTTGTTATGCCATATCTGTTGGAGAAGTGCAGTGATGTTTGGACAGAAGAACGTGCCTTTTAGTAGCACTTTAGCTGCAGTTTATTTATACCTTATTTAAATGTCTTGTCATACATTAACATATTAAGTAAAATACCTGGACCCTAATAGCAAGAATAATATAGTCAGCCCTTTATGTAAAGTGATCATTTGTGAGCAGGTTATTGAAGCCTCAGCATGTTACTCTTAGTCATTTGGGATATCAGTGAGTTCAGAGGAAGTTTTTCTCCGCCCCACCACTAAAACATCAGATTAATCCCTCCAGCAGCTGTGGATCCTCTTGCAGCGTCCTTGAGCGGGAGGCTTGTCTCAGGTCAGCCTGAGTTAGAGTAAAGTGCCAGTTAAACGCTTTGAAAAGTATTTTCCCTGAGATGTTATCTGCAGCGAGGTTATTCTAAGCCTCAAATGCCTCCCATGCCTTGTGTCCTCTCCGATAATGTGGGAGGGATTTTTGTGGATTTCTCCCGTAATGCCCGGCAGGTTTTTGTTATTTGCCTCGAGCTGTTCAAAGTCACTTTTGTGACTATGCAATGTTTTGGGCTGGGAGTTACACAATTCTCCCAAAGAGCTGAACCTAAGAACGAGGTAGAAAAGCGCTTAGTGCTGACCTCACAGCTGTACTCCTGGGCATTAATTGGCTGATGGTGGCATACCTCACAAAGCCCCTCTGATCTGTGTGAGATTGAAAGCACGAAAAGCCTGTAATACTAATAACATGAACTCTGGTTGAACCCGTAGAAAGCACTGAGACATAAAATGGGTCTATATTTAATCGTATTGGTCCGCTTAGCTCTGCCCTCGCTAGAAAACCTGTTTTACATGCAGATACAACTGATAAGAGGTTAGCGTTCATCAACATCCCGCAACTCCCGAGGCTTTGCACAAAGCTGATCCCTTACTTAACTAAAGCAAACATCGGGAAGATTAAGTGCATCTTGTTAAAAGGCTGCCTGGTTTGTAGAGCTTCCAATAGATTCCTCTCCAGCAGGAAACAGAACCAGCAGACATGACATGGTGCTCTCCCACTCCTCTGTGCTTTCTGATATATAGCTATGCAGCAAAAAAAAAAATCCTCCTCCCTCTGCAGAGAAGTTTTGAGTCGGAGTGCATTGCTTTTAGCGCAGGGATTCATAATCACATTTTTATTCTAGTTCCATGCTCCGCTGGTAAATAAACTATTAATGTGACATGAGGGAGAAGCGGACTGCGTATCAAACGTCTGATTGGTTTCTCAGGTTTCTCGCTGCAGCTTCATAACCCTCCCTGCAGGCTGCTGCTGTTTGCTTGTACTTGTTTTAAAGGAATGCCACTTCAGACAAACCAGTGTGTATTTTGGAGCAACTTATTTGTGGTTTATTTACAACAAATTCTTGCAGGAACATTTACATAGCCAGAAAAGCTATTCACTAATTCAGCTTGTTTTGAGGGGTGTGGTTCCTTTATAAACTCCAACAGGTTTTGGTTTATTTTAATGCAGACATTTCTGCCTGATGTTTGGTCTGTGCTCTGGTTTAATGTTGGTATGCTGCTGTGCAATAGTCAAGATTCAGCGATATTCAAAAGTCTGAATTAAAGACACAACTTAATGCTGTTAACAAATGTGTTCACAAGGTGTTGAAATCTGAATGAAAGATTTTTTTTAACACTTTTATTTATTACGGAATAATTGCAGTTATAGATAAATGTTCTAAACCTACTTTATTTTTCAGGAGACTTAAGATTTGTTAACTAGGAGACTATGCCAAAACCAAACAGAATAGTTTGAGTCCTGTTATATATATATAACGCAGAGATATATTGAATTTCCCTCAATTATAAATAATTTGCAAGCTCAAGTTTTTGTGTTGAGTTTTGTTTGCACTTTAAATTCTGTCAGAAATCTGTTATATAAACATCCAGATGGTGTCGAAAAAGTGCCTCCATAGTATTAATTTTTTTAAGTGTTGATGTATCATTTGGACCAAACTATTGTGTCTGCAGATTGTAATGTGCATAATATCTGATATCAACAAGATGTTATGATGGTGGACTCACACAATAGATGGGGGGGGGGGGCATCTGCTTCCCTGCAGCTTCTCCTCAACCCTTTTGCAGGATTCCTTTGTTGCTCTGTGAAATGAATACAGTAATTGTCACAATGAAAAATTGACCTTCCCTTTAATCTAGACTGAGGCCCCCTTAACAAGTTAAAATAGCGAAAACCCAATTAGGGAATTGATTGCTTGCTTTCATTTTCCTCATTTGCATCAGGGTCATATATAGCGGAAGATAAATGAATGTCTATTCTTTTGTCCACATTGTCATTCCTGGTGGTGCAGTATCTATTGCTAAGAAATGAGCGGGAGAGAAGTCTTTTGTCTACCCTCTTCCACACCAACTCATCTCTGATAATCTGCTGTTAAACACAGAAAGAAAGACTTACAGAAGATTCATGAATCCTCCCTCTTTCACACTGATGGGCAAACACATTACGTTTTTTTAATGGTAATTTAATAATTGGATGTATCTTTTCACATCTATTCATTACACTGATAAAACTCAACTTGTAGAGACTTCAAGGAAATGTTCTTGTTGTCAGCACATCTTATTAGACGGACAAAATTAACAACCTATTATATAATGTCTGTCTCCCAAAACTTTACTTGTACTCTACCAATTCTGTAGCACTTACTTAGCCCTGTTGGTTCCTGCAACGTTTTGCTATTATTAAAAAGATTTAATTTCTCCATAAAAGGGGGCATTGTGGTTTTTCAGAAGCTTTTTGAAATGAAGTATACAATGCATATGGGACTATTTCAGCTGTGGATTAATACACATTTGGTACACAGTATTTAATCAGGAGGCCAGAAGGTCATAACAAAGCTTTTTAAATTCCTCTCCATTGCTCTATGGAATTGATGTGGATGTTTTCTTGTTGAAACTGAGCTAAGCAAGCTTTAACATACAGTTTATCAGACGCCACATGTTAAAAATAATAAGGTTAACTTATTGTTACTGTGTCACAGTTTGAAACGCTGTTTAAAGTTGAAATTGGCTTAGGGTATTCTTGTCCTGCTGATAGTTGTTGTCCCTTTTTTACATAACTGATGACAGTAGCCTACATTTAGATTATTTGAACCCAATACTTAAGAGAACATGTTTTTTAGAGCATGCAGCTAAAAATTACATTTTGTCTTAAAGGTAGGGTATGTAAGTTTTGGAAACCGGCTCGAGATCGCTAGAATTTGAAAATACACGACCGGAGAAAATGCGCCACTTCCTTATAGAGCCCCTCCTCCAACACACACGAACGCGCACATGACCAATGAGGGCACGAGATAAGTTTGTGCACAGATGGAAGGCTGACAGGCAGGTAGGCCATCCAATCATTTTAGCCGGGCCGGCTAAAATGATTGCTCGTGCTTTTTACAGTACTACGGCTTCCACATTTTTTTATGGATTTTTTGTCAAAGCACTTAAGATATTCATTGCTATCGGGATGTTAAGAGCATTCCATGGAATATAACAAAAAGTGTATCTGGAGCCGGTTTCTCAAACTTACATACCCTACCTTTAAAGAAACCTCCATCCTGCGTCGGACAATGTTCCAGTTGTAATGATGTGATGTTTATCGGTACAAAACTAAATCAGTCCAGTTCCCTGTTAATAAATAACATCTCACCCAGTGCAAATGTGTGACTCTTTAATATGTTTTATTAATAGATTTTGAGCAACATTGGAGCTTTTTTATAACGTTGGTTTTGGTCTTGAGAAATACATAAAATATCATCATTCTTTAAAAGATCCTAACTGCTTCATGATGGTTTGAATTATGGCCAGCAGTAATGTGATGATTAGAATAGTAAAGCGTTAAGATAGAAAAGACTCGTATGAAACTCATATTCATTTATCAATGTTCAATAAAACTGCCTAATGTATATTCCTGTTTCCTTACCTCAGAATAAATTATTAAAGCTTGCAGGTTTGTATGCGTATACGTGCATGTTTATGTCCGCCCACAGACACTGCGGGGCGACAGGGAGGATAATGACATTGACTCCCTTTGTCGTCTCCTCTGATAAATGGCAGTTTAAAGGTTGAATCTCACATCTCTTTCATCTCCTGCGACGTGCATGGGCACAAATCCTGGGCGCTGTCACTTTATTTTGGTCTTTGTCTCCGTGATCGATTGAGAAATGGTCTGTAAGGGAGTGAAGTGTCATTAACGTGATTAGAGGCTTGTAAACAAAGAAGACCTTTGGGTGTTCTGCAGAGCTGGGAATGCCTCCACCTGTGTTTCCTTCAAGGATTTACTTAATGGGGCAAGAAATATGTGTCCTGTGTTCAGTGCAATCATTACAACCTGCAGCCAGTGGGGAGAGTAGGCCTACTCAAATACTGTACAAATTTGAATATGGGTAAATATTGTATACCTTTTACGACACTAAATGTATTTGACAGCTTTACTTACAAGTAACTTTTAAGATAAAGATTTTACACAACGGATAATATAACAAGCTTTTAAATTCAACATATTTTTAAAGACCAAACCAATGACTTTCAACCTTTTTGGCTTATGATTTCTTACATAAAGCAGAGTATAGTCTCCTTATATATATATAGACTTATATTTCCATGTGATTTCATGTCAATCATAATCCAATATCTCACAAAAATATCAAAGATTATGAAAAAGTCTCAAAACTTGTATATAACTGTCATATATAATATAATATCAAAACCCAAAACAATACTTATACTACATGTTGCTGCTAATACTTGTAATGTAGTATTTTTTTACATTGCTTTATTGGTACTTTAACTTTAAATGAAGAACCTTCCACCCCTGCCTGCAGCCAGGTTGTATTTCATCTTGTTATCGACCTACATATCTGGAGGTAACATGTTCAAGGGCATGACAAATGTCAAGGCCGTAAATCCTCTCATTGTTGCCTCAAGGAGTTAGACTTCCAATAATTGATGCCCACTTCCATACATCACCGGTGTTCATTCCTGCAGAGCTGTTAATGCTAAATCTCACGTGGGCCTCTTCCACACATTGTCCAGTGTCGTTTTGTGTCGCTCATTTTTCAACAGAACCAGATTAACCTCCACAACATCGAACTAAATAATGTCACCATCAATCTGCGGGTTAATCTTTGGAGTGTAATTTATAACAGGAGACACTTGTAATACAAACATTGCACTCCAGGTGTTTAACCAAACTTCCTGTACAAATAAAACCTGCTTCCTTTAAATACAGATAATTCTAACTGGCATGTCAGCTTCGTTGAAGTTTCTGGTGTCTGGAAATATAATTCTCTGCCATGTTTTTGGCACTAAAGATTCAAGATTTAAAGGCTTTACTATTATTTACTATTCTCCTCCAACAGTGCAGCAAAGACATTGCAAATAACATATTGGGGCAAAAACTGGAATGCAAAATGTAACTGTAGAGTTAAATAAAAGTCTTGTATATTGAGATATATTGAGGCTACTATATAAATAACTATGTGGACTATCAACAGATAAGTGTTACAAACATAAGTAAGTGGTGACAGTATGCAGAGCTGCTACAGCATCAACAGTGTCAAATGTATCTCCGTTATTGAACCACATTGCAACAGCGAGTTTTATTGTTTAAACACCTTGTGTACGAGGGAGACAAGGCGGTGTTTAGCACACATTTAAGAAGCACTTGGAGGCTGTTTATCTGTTATAGAGGCTGTGTAGCAAACCAGGATGTCTGGGACGATTTAAGACTTCCTCTTTGCTCGCCTGCTTGCTCTCCCTGTTTGAAAATGCTGCAGAGGATCCATCTATTCCTCCCGTTTGTAATGAAGCTCCCTGGGGGGTTCAGGCGCACCATGTGAAGACGCCTTAGCACCAGAGCGATTCATTACCTCGGAAACGTGAGCTTTTGTTCCGTTTTCAGCGGAGCCCCATTAATCTTGGGCTGCCTCCTGGCATGAAGGCCAGGTACTGCTTAGGTAATTACAGTTAATCATCGTTCAGACATGCACATGGTTCCTCAGAGGCTTCCATGCAGGGTCAAATCCACCTCTTGTTTACCCCCCCCCCTGCTACTGTACGAGTGTCCCAGTTGCACCACAAAGACACCTAATTTCTTTCTTGGTAACCGAACCACGAGCGTTTTTGGTAATTGTGTTCAGGAAGATTTGGCACCAGTTGTGCAGCAGCCTCCCTGCTGCACAAACAAGTTAAACATCCCAGAGCCAACCCCCCACCACTCCAAACATTTACACTATCCAGCTGTCCATGCTGCACGGGTACTGGAGCCTACTGTTCACCTGCCGTTCATGATTGCCATTAATGGACAGATTACAAGATGGATGATTTTCAGACGCAACAAGCAGAAACAGACCATCTGTATCTGGGCAGAGATGGATAACTTCATCACCTGGGGTTTCCTTCTGAAAACATGAAGAGCTTTGATGGCTGAAATGTCTATACTTAGAACTAAAACAAAAATATACTACCCCTTTAGCTGAGAATTAATCAGCAACACCTATTATATTTGATTAAATGTTTAATTAGTTTGGATGGATCGCCCTTTCATTAACCCAAGACTGACTTTATCTCTAAAGTTGTCATAACATTTACATTTTCATAAAAAGTCTACGATTCAATGCACTGCCATGAAAATTGGTCCGAACATTATTAATTTTAATTCTTTGAGTAGTTATTTTTAACTACTGCCATCACCAGGTCTTTTTAATTTCAATTTGTTCAATTCTATGGTGGAATATCCGCAAAAATATATATCCATCAACCATGTTGTTGTAGCCTACTTTAATGCTATAGCCTACACGCTAATGAAACACATTACACCTGTTAAACAGCATGTTAGCATTGTTAGCTTAAACGTGTTAGCAGTATTCAACATTCATGTTTATTTGAAGAGCAAGAGAAACAGGGATGTATCAACTCTTGACAAGACAAATACCAAATTGTGCACTGACAGGAGGAAATGTGCCAGAAATACCCAAAGGGTCAAAACTCTTAAATTGTTTTTTAAATGTTCGTGTTCATTATTTACACGCAATCAAGAAAACCTGTTCAAATGTGCTCTGAATTGAGAAATGCTTATATAAGAAACCTTTTTTTGTAATGAATTTTTTTACGACAATACCCTTAAGCTGAGTTTCCCACAGGACCATCCAGCAGTCAGTCATCCATTCAGCAGATTCAGATACAAAACACACACCTTCCATCTGGGGAAACTGTGAAGACTCTTGATCAGCTCTCTGTGGCACATTCCTCTGAAGACCATCCACAAGCTCTCGGGTATTGATTAACATTTAAGATATGAGCAAAGAAAAGAATCAATGTGTGCTGTCCTATTAGCACAACGTGCCCTTAGCGGTTTGTTGTTTGTAATTTGAATGGAGATAAGCCCATCGCTTAAAGGCTGCCGCAGAAAATGAGATAGCTGTAGTCGGGTTGACCTCCTTCAAGGGGAACAAAAGCTAACTCTACACTGTTGTTTGCTTTACTTGATAAAAAAAAAGAAAAGAAAGCAGAGATCACAATGATGGCAAAGTATGCTTAAGACATTTGGGTCCCGTCTTTGAGAAATTAGGAATCTGTTATCTGATGTCTTAAGGTTTGTTTCACCTTTTTGGGCTGTGTGAACTAAAGAGGGAGAGGCTGAAATGGTCAAAGTGTCATCATCAGTGCTGCATTGGAAATGATCTTAACCTGTTGTTTCTATAAATAAACCTTAAGTAAGAACCGATCGCTTTGTGAATGAGTGCCGCAGACCGGTCATTGAAGTCTGATTATTACAAATGAATGCAATATTTAAGCGTAATTGCCAGAAAAGTTAACGTTAGACTATCAAATAACCACCTCATGGATATGTATAAACTCCAGATAATGCTCATTTAGACACTTTTTAGCAACCCCTTTTTTTTGTATGTGTTAAGGTTTTAAAGATAGGTATTGATCGAAATGAGGAATATTTGAATCATACAATTATTTTGATTATATTATATTTTAAGGATATTTTGTGCAATATGTTCTTCCAGTGACACACGAGAGGAGGGGAACACGTTTTAGCCTCACCGATTGTTTGCTTTTACCTTTGTGTCCTCTTCACGGCTTCTGCCACCTTAAACCGCAAGACACCTGTCCCTTTGTGTGACATTTCCCCCCCACACACTCTCTCTCTCACACACACACACACACACACACACACACACACACACACACACACACACACACACACTACTACGTACTACG